AGGGGGGCAGGGGGGCAGGGAGGCAGGCCTGGGTTTCCATGCAAAGACTTGTCTGCAGGAGGCAATGGGTTGCTACTCCCAAGCTGTGCCAATCCACAGACATGAAGAGGGTGGCCAGAGTAAAGGCGTCTTTGCTCAGAGAGAGAGACCTCTAAGGGTTAGTTAATCTCTCTTGGAGGGGGCTGGGATTGGGGGCAGTAGGGAAGAAGGATGATCTGGAAGTGTGGTCTGGACCACGGGTGGTCAACTCAGCAGGTTAGGCATTGCATTACTTCAGGAATGCACTGTGACAGTGGTCAGTTGCTGGTTGAAGGCAGGCCACCAGCTACTTGTCAAAATGTAACTTCAAATCAAATCTGCCCAAGTTCAGAGCTATGGTGTGGCACTGTTGAAGGAATACCCCGTTCCAAATGATTCACCAAACAAAAGGGACACAATCCACCTGTAGCCAACCAGATTGCAGGCATCAAAACAGTTCGAGAATGACCTTAACTTTTTCATCTTTGACTTTCTACAATTTAAGTAATGTCTACCGTTTTCATCAGAATGTGTGTTATAGTCGTGTGAATTGAACAGGCCACAGGCCACCACAGTGACTTCTGTGGCTGTGGCGAGTGTCCCAGAAACAGGGAAAAGTATGGGTGGAGGTGAAGAGGGACCTGCTTGTTGAGATTACTGGGAGGAGACATGGAGCTACCTGCTCTTTGTTACCCCCATAGCTCTCGCAGGGTGTGGACAGCAGGATTATTGTGGTATTGGCAAACATGGCTTATGTAAGTTGTTTGAATGTGTTTCAGTTTTGGTGGGGTAAATAGAAGCTGTTATTTGTGTAACCAAAGGTATGGGATCTAATAATTCTACAGGATGATTTGTGCTTTCGAATCAAACCTTTCAATACTTTTTAAATTACTAAGGCAATAAAACGTGAAGAAAAATACTGAACCCCTAAGGATACAGTAGACTTCTCTGCGGGATACAAAGTTATTTCCAAGGCAAGTTATCTTTTATTACATCCTTGACCCAAAAACCAAGAAATGGAGCCATCAATGTGGCTTGGCAGGTAAAGGTGCTTGCTATCACTCTCAACAGCCTGAATTCAACCCCATCCCCCAAACCATACACTGGAAGAAAAGAACCAGTTCTCAAAAGCTGTTCTCTGACTTCCATCCACGTGTCTACCACCACACACATTACACACACACACATCAATAACCATGTATGTATGTTTTGTGAGAGCCAAAGTTGTGTTTTAAGTTTTAATTATCGTGTCTAAGAGATCCTTGAAACAAAAAAATTTGCCTCTGTTCAGCAAGCCCCTTGCCCAAGGACAGACAGTTCCTGAAATGCTGGAGGCTGTTGTTTGTGGGAGATAGCAAACCACATGCTTTTGGTCCTCTAAACAGGTTTTTTTTTTTTTTTTTTTTTTTACCCAACTACACCAGACGTGCTTGAACACATGTGGGCAGGAAATACATCAGAATGTGTACTTACCCTGGTTGAACCTGATGGAAAAATATGGTGACCCTGCGAGTTGACCTTTTCAAGCCTCTGCAAAATGTGACTCGTGGCCATTTTCTGGGAACCCAGAAATGGACCTGGCCAGAGTCCATCCACCTGGCCAGTATTTAATTCAGGCTTGGTTCAAAGTTGGCTTTAAATTGTGGTAGTGGTCTTTTTCTCAACTGGTGGGATTAACAGTATATTTATAAAATGCCAGTGATCTGCCCAGCTCTTCAGTTTTAAAACCTAAAGCATAATTTAATATCCAAACATTAAGGCAGTACTTGCTTGTGGAATCTTTTATTAACAGATGCCCAGAAGCACAATTTTCTGCGCGAGTGTTTAAAGAACCAGAGCTGCTCATTTTGAGCCATTGTAGGCTTGTAAGGCAAAGCTAAAGAGTCATTAAGGAGAGTGGAGAAGACAATCCCTACAGCAATCGGACCCGTAGATGTGCAAAAACCGCAACTCTCATCTTAAAGGGAGTAAGAGTTTATTCTGGGGCCGTTTTGAGTGGCCATGGCCTGGGAATACAGTTTAGGTTACCCCAAATTCCATGTTCCATCGTGGAAGCCGTTTCGTGAAGCTCTTATAGTTTTACAGAACAAAGAAAGTCAGAAATCCAGGCAAATATGAAATACATTGGCCGATCCATCAGAGGCTGAGACAGTGAGATGGGGGGAAGTTTTTCTATAGGCTCAAGATGCCACCTGACATTCTTAGTTTTAGATTAAGGGAAGCTGGTCGTCTGCTAGTTTAATAGATTCTAAAGCTTCCTATCTGTGAGTCACAGGACGTTAGTTCCAACACAGGTAGCAAGGAATGGCTGTCCCTGGGGGCTAGAACTAGCCCAAGATGAGGTAACTAACCTGTAGACCTGCAACATTCCAGTGTCCCCGCAGAACTGAAAATCTAATCCGTCAATCAGCCTGCGGAGACACAGCTTCTTTTCAGGAGTTTTCATTCACATTCAATCTCTCTCTCTCTCTCTCTCTCTCTCTCTCTCTCTCTCTCTCACCTCTCTCACCCAGAGTTGCAATGTGGCGAAATTGTGAACGCCCCTTTATCTCTGTTAGGCCCATACCCCATAAACTGAGCACATGTAATGAACTGCTCCAACTCCACATTTCTTTCCCTCAACTGCGTAACAAAGAAAAGATCTCTTTATAACGCCGTGGGGGAAATCAAAACGAAAGACGCAAGCTGGGGTGATCTGCCCGAAGTAATGTGGGAGAACAGACTATCTCAGCAGACAGCGTCTCCTGTTTCTGCCTTTTTTCTTCCCTTAGCTCCCTTCTGTCCTGCCTGTACTTCTGCCTATCCTTGATTTGTTTGTTAATCTAATTCTTAATATTCGCCACTGTCAACTTTCCCAGGGTCAGCCATAGAGGACGATACTTAGACCCTGTCTCTGTTCTGTGGCCCCTGATTGTCCCTGTTGGTTCCACAACACCAGTGTCCCACACCTTCATTGCAGCCCCCACTTCCTCTTTTCTCCTGCAGGGCTCAGCGATGGGCGAGGCCGTATCTCGAGCCACGCCGTGATTGGCGGTGTCCTGGCAACCGTAGCGATGCGGTCGTCAACAGAGACTGGATTTCTCCAACCCTGCGCCCCGGCCCCGGAACGGGGACCCTTTACCAGCGCCAGCGGGAGTCACAGCCTTGTCCAGCGGTGGGACGCTGGCCGCACCCACCTGCTCGGGTCAGTGAGGCCCTGGAGGGTGGGAGGGACGCTGCTGAACACGACCCGCCTGGCTTTGCAACTGGCAGATTACCTAGTAAGTGTTGGACACCTTCCTTCCAGGCCAGAACCTTCCAGGTTTCCAACCCGTGTGTGTAGGGAAAAGCAGGTTGCAGTTTCTAAGTTGGATCTCGCTTCTGCTGAAGATGCCCAGCGGCCAGGTCTCATTCATTTGATAACTGGGCTGTTTTTCAGGGTCAGGCTCGCAAACATGTATCAGCCCTTCTTACACAGAGGGCTTTTAAGCCATTCTCACTCCCTGCAGCTCCTAAGTACCTTGATGGATAACAAGCTCTTTAATGCATGTCTATCCACAGGCTAACCGTAATGGAAGAATGGAACACGCTAATCAGCACGTTAGAAACTTATTTCTAAGAAGCAATGATCAAAACTAACAGCCCAAATGCAATGTGTTCTTGAGCGAAAGCTGTTCGCAACTTTCAGTCTGGGGAAAGCCTCTGCTCGCCTCCAGTTCAATTCTTCTGGGGTGTTCACCCACACCCAGAAGAATTGGCTTTCTCTTTTTCACATGGACATTTAACTTCATGTAGTCGTTCCTTTCATCTTCTTGGGAGCTCGCCGTTTCTTTCCTTCTCATCAAAGCACTCAAGACTCTTAGATGTTCAATTCTTGGTCCTGTTCTCTCAACAAGTGGGAGAGACTATTTCAACCTCCTTAACTCTGCCCACGTTTATCCAAGGCGATGATCTTAGCCAAGCTTTGCCTTTTAAGGGCAGAAAGATGGGGGACTGTTAAGAATTGTAACAGGACGCACCCTGAAACATTATCCCAGCTTCCTTTCTTCCCAGAAGAACCAGAGTTCAGAACTCCCACAACAAACCCCCTCACCCCAGCCCAGATTTCCTTTTTGATAGAAACTAGCAAAGACAAAGGAAGTTCAGAGGTGTTGATCATAATGTTTACCAAGGGTCTAACTTAAATTAATAGAGTCTAAATTAAACTCTTGTCAAGGGCATGGGCAGCAATGAGGTAGCTCTTGGCTTTTCACTGTGGGCAGAAGACCAGCAGCAGACACAGAAGGACCCTTATTTGGTTGAGCCTTTTGGATTTGTGCAAACCATCCCCCATGCTGCCATGTGTGCAGGGGTCTGTGTTTAGCCCTAGGCTGGCCCCAAGCTCACAGTCCTCCTGCTTCAGACTCTCGAGTGTTGGGATTACAGGTTCTGACCATCTTAATCTTTCTGTTTACCCAGGAGCTTTGCCTGACCATGGTTTTAGTCCAAGCTGTCACTTCCTTCCTACACTCAGGAAATCCTTCTCTATGGCTCATTAGACAATTCTAATTTTTAAAACTGAGGACACCCAGAGGTACTAGTATATCCCTGTAATCCCAGTCCTCAGGAGGCTGGGGCAGAGGATACCATAAATTCAAGGCTGGCCTGAGTCAGACCCTGTCTCAAAACACCAAAAACCAAACCAACAAAAACCCTACCACCAGTAACAAATTATCCCACATCTTAGAGTGATATATTCTGACCTTTGGGATTCCCTGCCTCAGAGGCAACTCCTGAGCAAATTATACTAAACAAACAGTATAATCACACCCAGGAAAGAGTGTGTTGATGTTTAAAAGGGTGGTTATTTTCTGATCATAACTTTCCTAGAACCCGTTTTGCCTTGTTTGAAGACAATCAGGGTTTTCTCAGTCGCTATGAGTGACTGATTTAACTCAACATTTTAGGTAGTGCATATTGTGTAACAATGTGCCGGAAGAACTCATATATATATAGTCTGTCCCTGTAGCCATCAAACTTCCGTTTAGGCTAGAGAGGTCTGAGGCCACACGGATGAAGCCTCATAGTAAAAACTAGACTTTTGGGGCTAGAGAGATGGCTCAAAGGCTAAAAAGAGTCACTGTTCTTCTGGAGAACCCAATTTTGGTTCTCAGTCTGTAATTCTGGCTCTAGAATTTCCAAGGGCATCTTCATACATGTGATAGACAGACACACAAAATTTTTTTTTAAAAGCTTGACTTTTAAGAGTTGCTCAGAGCAGTCTCAGAGGTACAGTGAAGGCAGACCCCTCCTTTTTTTTTTCAAAAAAAGAGAACAAACTACCTTTTTATCATTATACATACCAATCCAAGTTACCACTTCCTCCCCTCCTCCCATTCCCTCCACATACCCTGCCACTCCAGCCCTATCCAATCCTCAGAGAGGGTAAGACATATTGCTTTGGGGAAGGTCCAAGGGTCTCCCTACTATATCTAAGCTGAGCAAGGTATCCATCAAAGAGAATAGGATCCCCAAAAGCCAGTACAAGCAGTAGGGATAAATCCTGGTGTCACTGTCAGTGGCCCCTCAGTCTGCCCCAGCTATGTAACTGTCAACCACAATCAGAGGGACTAGTTTGGTCCTATGCTGGTTCCTTCCCAGTCCAGCTGGCATTGGTGAGCTCCCATTAACTCAGGTAGACTGTTTCAGTGGGTGTCCCCATCATGGTCTTGACCTCTTTGCTCATATTCTCCCTCCTCCCACTCTTCAGCCGGACTTTGGGAGCTCAGTCCAGTGTTCTGATGTGGGTCTCTGCCTCTGTTTCCATCAGTTGCTGGATGAAGGTTCTATGGTGATATTTATCAGTCTAAATACAGATCAAGTCAAGTTTGAGCCCCCCCCCCCATTGCTTAGGGTCTTAACTGGGGTCATCCTTGTGGATTCCTGGAAATTTCTCTAGAGTCTTGCTAACCCTATAATGGCCCCTCAAACAAGATATCTCTTTCCTTGCTCCCTTCTCTGTCCTTCCTCCATCTCGACTATCCCATTCCTGACATGGGATTCCCCTCTGTATGCTGTGAATACCATTGGTTAATAAAGAAACTGTCTTAGGCCTGTGATAGAGTAGAGTAGTTCTAGGCAGGGAAAATTAAACTGAATGCTGGAAGAAAGGAGGCAGAGTCAAGGAGAAGTCATGTAGTCCCGCTTACCTGGTTAGCCACAGCCTCGTGGTGATACATGGATTAATGAAGATGGGTTAATTTAAGATGTGAGTTAGCCAGATATACGCTTAAGGTATTGGTCAAAGAGTATTGCAAATAATATGGTTTCTGTGAGATCATTTTGGGAGTCTGAGCAGCTAGGAACAAACAAGCGACTCCCTACAATACACTCTTTCAAGTTCTCCTCACCCTTCCCCTTCTCCCCTCTTCTTCCCCTTCCACCCTTCCTTCTCCCCCTCACCCATATGCTCCCAATTGTATCAGGCGATCTTGTCTATTTCGACTTTCCAGGTGGATCTATATATGTTTTTCTTAGGGTTCCCCTTATTACTTAGCTTCTCTAGGATCATGACCTATAGGCTCAGAAGGCAGACACTCTTGACACAGGTGCTGAAGGGTAAGACTCCACACTGGACAATGGCTGTGAGCGTGAAGAGGAAAGTGGGTGGGCTGTGTAGGAAGGGGGCTTGTTAGGCCTGTGTCCCCAGCCAGCCTTTCATCCACCTGCTGGGAGTGCTTTATTCTTCTTTCCTCATTTTCTCCGGCTCAGTTCCACTTCCAGCCCCCTTCTCTCCACGTATTCTCAGGCTATAAAACCCCAGGGTGAAGATCTGAGTCGGAATGACTCACACAGCTTCTCAGATCTGATAGAACCAGTCACATCTTTTTAAAAAAAAAATCAACTGTACAAAAATTCTCCCGAGCCCCCAAAGGGGCTGGGACATGTGTTGTAACAAAGTGGGAGGATTCAGTTGCTGTGTAAAGGATCCAAGTATGTGTCCTTTTAAGTTTCATGAAGATTCAAGCAAATTAAAGAATCTTTCCCTTTGACTTAAAAAACAAAGGTGTGGCCCTTCTTCCTGGCTTTTAAGGTTGTGAGTGTCTGTGAGAAACCCTTATTAGGCTGGTTTGTGTAAAATTGCTCCCTTTAGAACCCAAGGTGAGTCAGTCCTCCCCAGTGAAAAGGATGGAGGAGGTGACTGTGTTTCTGGGAAGTGAGAGATTAGCTGGACTTGATGAAGCAGCCGGGTCATTCTCCTTAGCGTCTCTTGTTTCTATGGGAACAACCAGGGCAAGATCTTCAGCTGCCATCTCTGTGGACAGATCTCCAAAAGCAGGCTCAAGCATATTGGCCTGCCCTTGTTTCCACGCTCTCTGATGTCTTCTCGACTTCAAAGCCCAGTATGATTGGGTAGTAGGGATTAGGAAAATCCTTGGAGGGGCTGGGGAGGTGGCTCAGTTAGGACAGTGCTTGCTGTTGGGAGATAAGTTTGAATCCTCAGCGCCCACGCCCACGCCCACATAAGAAGCCAGGTGCAGTGGCACCACCTGCAACTCCAGCCTTGGAAGGTAGAGATAGGAGGATTCCTGGAGTTCCAAGGCTAGCCAGTATAGCCTGTTGGTGCACTCAGGGCCCGGAGAGAGACCCTGTCTCAAACAGTAAGGGGGAGAGTGATTTATGAAGACACCAACTTCGGCCTCTGGTTTCCATATGCATTCCCCCACACACATATACACACACACCATACATCATGCACACACACACACACACACACACACCATATATCATGTACATACATACACACTATACAACATGTATATACAAATAGACACCATACATCATGTGCACACACACACTGTACATCATGCATACACACACACCATACATCATGTACACACACACACACACACACACACACTATACACCATGAATATACACACACACACACACAAACACACACACAAAGTGCTTTGAGTAAAAGTGTATCTTGAAGCCAAAACAGTTGCTAGAATAACAACTTTTAGATACTCTATTTTTACGTTAGTTCTCTCCAAAATGTTAAGTGCTTGTACACACACAATGCAAACTTTGGCATATTTGTTCTTGGCAGCATACTCCAGTTACTGTGTCATGCAGGTGTGTTATTCTAGAGGGGCGGGGTCGGTTGCTGTGGTAACAGGACAGGCTTATGTTGGAGTTTGTTAGGAATTTTTTGTTTGATTTTTGTTTTGTGCTTGAGACCCGGTCTCATTATGTATTTCCGCTGGCACCTAAATCCCAATCCTCCTGCCCAAGTCTCCCGAGGGCTGGCATTATAGGCACATGACACCACTCCTGGCTCACACTGAATTTTGATTTTAATATTTCCCTGCATCGTGATGCTCTTTAAGCCATCTTGCCACGCATCCAAAATGAGTCTTGTAACCTTGTTCTCATAAGGTAAGAGTCTCCCCAGTCGTATGGGTTTGGAGACCGTTGGAAGTGACCCTCTAAGGCTAGTACAAATTCACAGAAACCTTGTCGTGGAATTGTCATCTTTCATGACTTGAGAGCTGAGCCTGTGCCTTGAGAATCAAGGTTAGTGCTCTCTGCCTGAGGACGGGGGAGGTCATACTGGAATCCACCTCCTTCTAATGGTAACCAGGTGGCTAACAAATGGCTTTGAATGTCGCTCCTGTTGCTCACTGAATATGGCAGAACCTGTGAAAAAGCTCTTGAAATTCTCAAGGCTTCTGATTCCTCAGCTGCAGGCAGGGTATTAACACCTTGTAACTGCTGTGTTCCCAGCAACCTGAGAGAGAGAGAGAGAGAGAGAGAGAGAGAGAGAGAGAGAGAGAGAG